CGACGTATAGACCGAAGGTCCAGCACCGACCTCATGTCCCTAGGCAATTAATTGCGTAAGAATCAAACACGAAATCACAAATTGAACTCACAGCCAGAAGGAAAATGAAGATGTTCCCTACATATGACATTAGCGTACATAGAAACGAGACTGTGGGTGTTGACGCACCAACAAGTTCACGATCGGACATTTGAGCACCACCGTCCTCAGTCTCCTCCTGGCTCGCGTCCAAAAGTTGACTGAACAAGTCATACCGCTCCTCCTTCTTCTCAGACTCCCTTCGGGCTTTGATCATGTCGAACATGTACGCCTGAAAACAAGGGTGATGAATTAATTGGATGACAAGGCGTTAAAAATTCAAGAAGCCCACATCTAGTTCATTGAAGGCTGCCCTGACGTGTCGCAGATGTTTGGTGAGACTCATGGCCCAGGTAGGAACTATGAGCCTCGTGAAAGTATCCGTAGAGATGGTGTGGAGTGCATCCTTGAACGACATCGTATAGCCCGGAGGTACAACTGTATCTTCCTTCCACGACACCTTGCGACCAAAACCCGCTACTCCAATGACGAAGAGCGCAATCTAACAGAACAGAGTTAAAGCGAGATTCAGCAGGACAAAGAATATACCCACAGGTAGAGTGATCTCAACACAGTGGTCAATGGTAACCTCATCTGCGTTATTCCACCGGTCGTTGAACATATCGGTCATGATCTTCACGGTCTCGTCCCACACGAGCTTGTTGTTCTTCTCGGAGAATGCGGGAGCAGAAACCTTGCGGTACCTCTTCCACTCGTCGCCTTCCGATGCGACGATATTGCGTCCGAAGAAGACTATCGCTTCATACTGATGTACCGGCTTTGGGAATCGAGCCCGGGATAGGGTGACGTCCTACAGAAAATGATTTAGGGAAGCATGAACCGGGTGTCGTTTGGAACATACTTTGATAGCAGCTGCGTCGGCAAGCACGATGGCCTTTTCTGCACGAGGCCACGCGCTGACCTATTCATGTAAATGCCGACACAAGGATTCCTGCAGCAGACATACATTGGTGATTCCGTCCCAGCCATGCTCCTCAAAGTCTAATAACTTGCCGGTAAATTCCAGCCTGGCTCACGGAGTTGAAGCACTCACCTAGATGCTTCTTGGACCACGCCCTGTTACGACCGGCGCTCAGCCCACGAATCCGAGGCAGAATATTACCCAGACTAAAACAGCTCAGTTGAGAGCATCGACAATGGAGAAGAAACACGCACATAGTGCTGGTGCCTAAAGCTTGTCTCAAGCCCGGATGGTTCCTTCAGAGATTCGCGTCAGCAAAACGGCTGGATGGTGTGCAAGTGAGGCGTACCCTACACTCGTGACTGCTCTGCGGAACTCTAGAACGAGCTTTACTACATAGACCGCTAGGGCTGAGAGGCCGACGAAGATCGCTGTCTGCATGATAGTAGAGGATAGCTCAAGGTTAGTAGTGATGAGGAAAGAAGATGGACGTCGTGAGACACAATGAGAATTCAGACTCAGACCTTAGGCGTTGGCGTGAGTGACGACTCGACATGTGGACAGTGGACATATGACATGTGGAAATCGTCTTCTCAGCGCACGGGCGGCATCCTCCTACCTAATCGGGTACCACTTCGACATCCTAATTGGGAGTTATATGCGCGCCACTTACAAGTTCGCCGGCGGCCACCAGTGGCTTTCGCTGGCTATCAGCAGCCGGTGATGGATAACGGTTGATAAGATAAACTACCGTTGATCAGCGTCAATCACCCGCCACTCGTTCCGATTGAGTTCACATCAAGTTCACATTGCACAAGGCAAATAACTCTAATGGTTTTCGTCGGCAGCCAGTGGTTTTCGCTGGCATCCACTGTACATATTTACATTGATTTCATCATTTATAGAAACCCGAAATAACTGCGAGTTCCCATTGGCAATTATCGTTTGTGGCACGCAAAAAAAAAAAAAGTAAAAGTAATAGGGCCAAGAACGAATCACAAATCACTGGCTACCTTGTTGGTATCGCTTACTTCATCAGTATTCCATTTTATTGAATGCCAGTGACTGCCAGTAGCGTTCACAAGTCACTCGTGGTTAGTGGTGGCAAGGTTCGGTTCGGAAATCGGTTCGAACCTGAACCGAACGCTGGGTTCAGGCTCAGGTTCAGCGATCCTCTGAACCGAACGCGAGGTTCAGGTTCGGCGTTCGGGGCGTGGGGGTCGCGTTCGAACGCCGAACCCGAAAATTGAAAGACCCAGTCATTTTTTGCTGATTTTGTCAAGATTTTCACCCACTTAGGACTCTAATTTGGCTCATGTGTACATCCTGCACTATCAAACTGTTGCAGTAGTACTTTGTAGCGAATCTAACAGTGATCTCGGCCGCCGCGGCTCAAAGTTCAGCTCTCCCACGATCTGATATTCAGATGCACAATTGTAAATTCTCATCTATTGGCCATTTCAACGTTGCACACTGATTAGGAATGGTATAAACTCATATTTCATTATAAATTATAGTTTTATGATGTTTCTACTTTAGTCATGTACATTCTGTGCATTTCCAATGCCCATTCAGAACTTTGTGGGCTTGCGGAAGTTCACTTCGCAAAAAAAATTTGCACGAGGAAGTTCAAGTTCCGTCTCGTAGTTCACCTGAACATGAAGTTTGGACAGGCATGCGGGACCTTGTGCTGTGCGGCGTCTCGTCTGGCCAAGGAAACATTCATTTATTGATAAAAGGAAGGAATTTTCTGATGCCTGCTTTTTTTCCCCTATTTTTTCAATCCTGGGACATGCTATTAAGACACTAGTGCGGAATATCCGTTCTCCGTTTTTAGCCCGATTTCTGAACCACCCTTATACCTTTAGTAGTCATCCTGTTCTCTCCTATGACCACTAATAATTGAAGTGGCCGCTGCATCTATTATGAGAGTTAGAAATTGCACAGAATAAATTCTAGGTACCTATGTATGACAGGCTTCACAGATGAGAAATTTTAGTAAAAAGATACAGTGTGTAAATTCGGTCAGGAAGCCCTGCCCGAGAATATTTGGGTCACATCAAACTGAATGATTGGAACTTCAACCTCAACTTCAGCTACCTCATGAAGAACATTGATCAAAAGCTGAATATTTAATGAAAAATGAGGTCATAGAATGGCTTATGCATGGAAAAAACAACAGACGACTCCACTTGGTAGCCTCCTGCATAGGACTTTGAGTCCCCGAGATGCCCGATTTCAGGTCGCGTTCGAACGCGTTCGAACGCTGAACCGAACCTGAACGCGGGTTCAGGTTCAAGGTTCAGCTCTTGACTGAACCGAACACGAGGTTCAGGTTCGGTGTTCGGCGCAAAGTGCCCTGAACCTGAACCGAACCGAACCTTGCCAGCACTACTCGTGGTTATTTCCCCGCATCAGATTGTGCATGCTTGGTTCTATTTCCATATGGCTATATCTCCTTCGAAAGTCCTCTTGCTTAATGCTTTTGCAGTGCCTTGCCGACTCATTTCTTTCCTGCGGAAGTCGCCGCGCTGCAGTATTTTTATCTGCGGAGATCCGAATCTGCGAATGCCCCATTTGGACAGAACAGATGGTTCGGTGACTTCTGCGCAAAGCTCCAGACTACGCAATTTGGCTGAAGTGGTATTTCTATGGCTCAGTGACAGCTGTGAAATGCTGTATTCCTTCAAGCACAGTTTCCAGTAAGTGATGTGGAAGGATTATAAGAGGCTGAGGTCGGATGAGCCAATTTTTCAGTACTCTCGTACATCCCTGATCTATGTCAGCATTCAACGTTCTCGGTTTTTCCAACTCAAGGGGGGTCGTCGGGTACCGATACAGAAGACCAACACGCGTATACAGTATGGCATATTCATTACTCTACTCGTATTCACTATGGTGACCCCGATGCGACTGCAATTGCGCATGCCACGGAACTTCGGCAATTACAGTTCAAGCACTACTGAAACTATGCTTGATGGCACTGTCGTATTCACTTTGTGCAAAGCTCAGGCACTCCCTAATTCCACAATATCACTGGATGCCATGATTTTCATCCCCATCCCTGGCGATCCTAGCCTAGACGCGTATGATGTAAACTCTTACTCTCTTTCTTACTTCACCGATGGAAGCCCGAAAGCACCGCCCAGGCGGTCACGCATCGGAGATTTGCAAGACGTGAACGAGTACAGTGGAAGACAGAGGTCCAAATCGATCGGAGCGCACTGTGCAGAATTATGTGTATAGTGTATAATTTTTATTAGCAGATGCAACTAAGACCATCTCAAGATTCAGCGAAGACGCACGAAGCCTTCGTTGAAGTCACCCGCAGGAATTACCCGTGGGAGATCGAGGTTCGAATCCCCTAGCGGGCATAGACTTTCTTTTATCCCCATGTCGGCTCCAGCTGAAGCTAAATCAAGGTGCAATGAAAAGTTACAACTTCACATAGTCAAGTGGGAGAAGGAGGTTGACTCTTCACGAGCTTTTTTGCTACGCGGAAATAATGACTCCCATGAGGTTGCTCGACATTTGCTTGATTAAAAAAAAAAGTATGCCCACATTCCAATTTCCCGAGATGTAGATCCACCGGCGAGATACAGAATTTGTCCGAGCACGTATCAAATTTGAAGGCTTTCTTTTGTAGATCCAGCTGAAGCGATATCAGGGTTCATTGAAAAAGTATAATCCCCCGTCGCTAAACTAAATCGCTCACCGCACTTGAGGTGTCCATGATTCTCAGGCCATAATTATTCGGTGGGAGATGGAGGTTCAAATCCTCCCGAGGGCATACATTTTTTTCTTCCTACTAGGAAGGACTGAAGTCCACGACACCACAAGGTGGTCGTTATTTTATTTTATTTTAAAAAAAATCTGCGCAATAGAGAGAGATGTAGATGATTCACGAGCTACAGAATTTTCTGAGTGTGTTGAACGGTTTTTACTTTATTTTCGAAAATCCAGATGAAGCCATATCAAATATGATTCAAAAGGTATCAAGGCCCTCGTAGATTAAATGGTAAATCACCCGCTCCCTGTCAACCCGACGACCACTACGAGTCCAGTGGGAGATGGAGGTTCGAATCCTCCTGAGGGCATAAAATAGTGCGATAGTTTTTTGTATTTTTGATTTGATTTGTGTTACTTATAAATTAGCATTCATCCCCAAGAATCCGGGAAAAGTTCTTTTAGAACTTTTTTGTTATGAGTATCCCTTGCGAATATTCCAAGTGGTGTCGAAGCGGTGTCTAGCTTGATCGTCCGCCCGGCCGCCGATCAACACGTGCCAGCCGATTTTTGCCGCAAGCCACCACCACGTTGAACGTTCTGAACTCGCTGCGCTCTTGGGATGACATTCATGAAACCGATCCTCCGCCTCCACTGTGCTGCCCACTGACGCCTGACGCAGCGGGGTCTCAGCAGCATAACCCTGCCTCGCGGCTTTCTTTTTTTAGCTCTGTCACCCCTCGAGGAGTCGGTCCTTGCTTCGACTCGTCTGCGCCGCCGCCTTCCTTCGGACCCACGACGCCTAGTACGCGAGCTATCCGGCGCGTCGAAGCAGGCTATGTCGTTGGGAAGGCGCGGCGCGTTGGAGCTCGGCGAAGACAGAGGAAGACCGCGCGGGGTGAGTTGCTCCTTGTCATACCCGCTCCCCTTTCCGCCGCTCGCACCCGTCATAACTAGCATCAACTAACCGCCGTCTGCGACTCGCGATCCGATTAGATACACCGCCGGCCCACATTCTGGATTCTCCCTCGACCACCGATACGCGTCTCTCGATGCCGGAAGCCCAATCTATTCAAGAGACCACTCTGCTGCGGTCCACGCACGACACAACTCCGATGCTGCTCCCCCCACCCGACCCCTCTCTCCTTAGCACCGTCACGAAACAACCGTCGCCATACTGCCATGCGCAAGGATAAGTAGCGCGCGGGGTCTCTCCGACATCCCATCCTCATACTTCCGCACCGCGCGTTCCGCCGCTCCCCGCCCTCGCCGGCCACGTCTCGAACGCCGTACGACTTCTACAAGCCCATTCTCTGCGGCTTCACAACATACTGTGCTGGGTCGAACGTGGCGTGTTTCGCAAGACGACTCCACACGCCCTACCGGCGCGGCATTGCGCGTCCTTCGTCCAACGTAGTATTCCTCCGCACTCAAAACGACGGTAACGCGCGCGCCATCCGCTCCGTGCGCCCCGATTCTTCGCCACGGCCGTTCCCCCAGGCAACGTCTTCACGACGTAGTGCATCTTCAAAACCTCCCCTCCCTTCGAGGCCCAGCGCCCTTACGCTCGCGCGCTGGACGACGGCGCGACGCGGCCTACGCCCATCTCAGATGATGTTCCTGCTGGAATACGCCGCCGAGCCCAGCTTCTGCGCGCTCCCTCCCAGGGTGAAGACGAAGAGACAGGCACCATCCGCGGCGCCGGCATGAAACTCCCGGCACGTTTGGCGAGGCTCATCCCCCGGCGTGGCTCCAGGACGTTCCAGACGCCGCACGTCTTTATGCAATGGCGCTTTACTATAAATAGCTGGCCCGTAACTTATAAGGTGGCTGCGATCCACCGCTTGCGCATCATCACCTTCGGAAATGCTCCACAAGCTGCTGTTCACCGCGCCGCCTCACGATCATCATCTTGCCTCACAAAGCTGCAACTCAGATCCAGCGGGCAGCTTGTACGTCGGATTTGATCCACCGCATTGAAGCTCTCTGAACCCTCTTCACGCAGGCTACCGTCTGTACGGATATTATTTGTTATGAGACTTTAACCTCATCTAATAATACTACTGACATAGGCACCAGCCTGTAAGAAGCATTCTCCTTCATTCTACATCTCTACTACTGCACTGACTCAATACTCTTCAGGCAACCCGGGTCTGGTATGCTGTCAATTTCCGCGCGGGCCCCTTTCCTGGGGCTGGATCGTGAGCTCTTCCTTCTATAGTTCAATTATGACTGAGGCCTGTGTCAGTCCGCGCTGCGAGCCTGTGTCTTTCCGCTGCGAGCGGTTCAGTACTCTCAACCCTGGTATTTGCCCTCCGTAAACGCGTTGTTCACCTTGTGGACCCCGCGAGTATAGCATATTCCCGCACTATTGATAAATAAATAGTTCAGCTCTTCGCACACCAGTATTAAATATTCTCTTCTCTATGACTTATGCGAGAACTCGATGTCAATTACGATTTTCTGAGGACCCAGGCTCAGTGTAAAATTTAGTTCGAGGAAACGATGGTCGGAATTTTGCCTTGAAATTAGAAATGAGCTGACCGCAAATTAAAGAACTAGTAGGATCGTACAAAAGGAATTATTGAGCCTGGCGGCCAGTTAGCACTTCCTATATCGCCTACAGGCAGGTTTCAGTCATGAAGGCTACTTTCTTTCCTACTTTCCTGACCAGGAACAAAA